ACCACGCCCGGCTGATTTTTTGATTTATTGTAGAGATGAGGTCTCGCTGCCCAGGCGGGTCACGAACCCACGGGCTCAGGCAATCCACTCACCTCAGCCTCCCAAAGGTGTGGTATTATAGGCTGAGCCACCGAGCCCGGCTATTCTTTTTTTTTTGAGTGGAGTCTCCACTCTGTCGCCCAGACTGGATGGAGTGCAGTGGCATGCTCCCGGCTACTGCAGCCTCGGCCGATCCTTCCACCTTAGCCTTCCAAGTAGCTGGAACTACCACATGCACCATGCCCTGCTAATTTTTTTATTTATTGTAGAGATGAGACCTCACTAAGTTGCCTAGGCTAGTCTTGTACCCCTGGGCTCAGGCAATCCTCTCACCTCTGCCTCTCAAAGTGCTGGGATTACGGGCTTAAGTCACTGTACCTGGCACATCTTTTTTTTTTTAGTTGGTGTCTCACTCTGTTGCTAGGCTAGAATGCAGTGGTACGCTTCTGGCCACCGCAGCCTCGACCTGCTGGGCTCCGGCGATTCTTCTGCCTTAGTCTTCCAAGTAGCTGGGACTACAGGCGTGCGCCACCACACCCAGCTAATTTTTTGGTATTTTTTGGTAGAGATGAGGTCTCACCATGTTGCCCAGGCTTGTCTCAAACTCCTGGGCTCAGGCGATCCTCTCACCTTGGCCTCCCAAAGTGCTGGGATTATAGGCATGAGCAACTGCACCTTTGCATCTTTCGACTGTCAACTCCTCCTCTGGTACAAACGTGCTCAAGTCTCTGCACCCTAAAAACACCTCCCCTGTCTCTGCTATTCTCTTGATCTCCAGGCTCCCCTCCCTGTCCCTCCACTCAACATCAAACAGCTCATGGCCTCTTTCAACACAGCACCTGCCACCCCCTCTCCACTAACACTGCCGTTTCAGAGGTCACCCGTGATTTTTTCCAGTTGCCAAGGAGAACGCCTGGTGGGTATTTCTCATTTCCCACCCTTGGCTTCTCTGGGGTAGCAGCACTGCGGCTCTGTTCTATGAAGGCGAACCCTCCTACACCTGGCCTGCATTTCTGGCTACCCCTTCTCGGTCTCCTTTGGGGCTCTTCTTCGCCCTGTATCTCTGGGAGTAATCACATGTACTTCCATGGTAGCAAAGTGCCCACACTGTCCTGGCTCAGGCCCTCAGCACTTCTTGTCTGGATTAAAATCTTCCTTTTTTTTTTTTTTTTGAGTTGAAGTCTCACTCTGTCGCCCAGGCTGGAGTGCAGTGGGCGATCCTTTGCTGGGCTCAGGCGATCCTTCCGCCTCAGCCTTCCAAGTAGCTGTAACTACAGGCATGCGCCACCATGCCTGGCTAGTTTTTTGATTCATTGTAGAGATGAGGTCTTGCCAAGTTGCCCAAGCTGGTCTCAAACCTGTGGGCTCAGGCAGTTCTCTCACCTCAGCCTCCCAAAGTGCTGGGATTGCAGGCATGAGCCACCGAGCCTGGCCGGATTAAAATCTTCTAACCGACATTTTCACCTCTCATCTCTGAAATCCACCCTCCACTCTGTAGCCAGTTATCACCCTAAAACAAAAGATGATTAATGTGCTCCTCACTTCAAAAACCTTCAATGGCTCCCTAGTGCCTTCAGAATAACATACAGACTGTACTCTGAGCTCTGGCACCTGGTACCACCCTACCTGTTGAGCTTTGTCTCCAACTATCTCCTCCATGAACCTTACGCTGTGGACACAAAGGACCCTCAAGTTCGCCAAACAACAGCCACGCCATGTCTCTGCATATGTGGTCGCCTGCACTGGGAAGGACTTTTCCTTCCTGTTCTCTCAAAATCCAGTCTATCTTTCTTTTTTTGAGTTGGAGTCTCACTCTGTCGCCCAGACTGGAGTGCCGTGGCCGCTCCCGGCCACCGCAGCCTCGACCTGCCTGCTGGGCTCCGGCGATCCTTCTGCCTCAGCCTTCTAAGTAGCTGGAATTACAGGCACCACGCCCGGCTGATTTTTGATTTACTGTAGAGATGAGGTCTCGCCAAGTTGCCCAGGTGCGTCTCGAACCCACGGGCTCAGGCAATCCACTCACCTCAGCCTCCCAAAGAGCAGGATTACAGGCTGAGCCACCGAGCCCGGCCCAGTCTATCTTTCAATGTTTAGTCCAAATCTGCCTTCCTCTGTGAACAGAGTTTTCTCCTATGTGCTTAAAACACAGCAGACATCTAACACGTTTTTTGAATGAATGAATCAACCCTGTTCATTCACTTCTGGTCAAACTTTAACCACTCTTCCTCTATGTTCCCACAAAACTAAAACTGAAACCAGACAACACAGCTCTTGAATTTGACCTTCTATGGCAGTTTTTATTATTTAATTTTTAAAGGGATGGGGTCTTACTCTGTTGCTCAGGCTGGAGTGCAGTGGCAGTCATAGCTTGCTGCAGCCTCAAACTCCTGGGCCCAGGCAATCCTTCCATCTCAGCCTCTTGAGTTGCTGGGACTACAGGCATGTGCCACCATGCCCAGCTAATTTTGTATTTTATTTTTTTGTAGAGGTAGGATGTCTCTATGTTGCCTAGGTTGGTATGGAACTCCTGGGCTTAAGGGATCCTCCTGCCTCAGTCTCCTGAGTAGGTAGGACTAAAGGTACATAACACCACACCTGGTTAAGTTTTCCTTTTTTCTCTCTTTTTTTTTTGATTTGGAGTCTCACCCTGTTGCCCAGGCTGGAGTGCACCGGCACGCTCATGGCCACTGCAGCCTCGACCTACTGGGATTAGGCAATCCTTTGGCCTCAGCCTTCCAAGTAGCTGGAACTACAGGCACACGCCACCACGCCTGGTTAAGTTTTTGATTTATTGTAGGGTCTAGGTCTCACCAAGTTGCCCAGGTTGGTCTCGAACCCCTGGGCTTAGGCAATCCTCTTGCCTCAGACTCCCAAAGTGCTGGGATTACAAACTTGAGCCACCCTGCCCGGCCTCTAAGTTTTTATTTTCATTTTTTTGTACACACAGGGTTTTGCTATGTTGCCCAGGCCGTATCGCAGTTAATTCTTTACCTGTCTCTCTCTCCTAGTCACCCATGACCTCCTTTATTTACCCGCCACCTGTTTTCACACTGTCTGATGGGAAACATGGCTTTAACTAGAAATTCTCAGAGCTGGGCGTGAGTCACTTATTGTCCTAAACAACTGCCCGATAGTCAGCCAATGACCCACTTTCTTTTTTTTTGTGAGTCAGAGTCTCACTCTGTCACCCAGACTGGAGTGCAACAGCACACTGCTCATGGCCACTGCAACCTCAACCTGCTGGGCTCAGGCGATCCTTCTACTTCAGCCTTCCAAGTAGCCAGAACTACGGGCATGTGCCACCGCACCCAGCTAATTTTTTGATTTATTGTAGAGACGAGGTCTCACCATGTTGCCCAGGCTGGTCTCGAAGCCATGGGCTCAGGCAATCCTCTTGCCTCCACCTCCCAAAGTGTTGGGATTACAGGCGTGAGCCACCGTGCCTGGTGACCCACTTTCTTAGGCCAACAGTCCCCCCAGAACACGTGAATTAAAGTTCACCAAGAGTACTTACAAATCTTGTGAGGTTTGACTCCTGTCTGGAGTGACTCTTCGCTGCTGGGCTTGAGGTTGCTGAGAAATGATGGAAGATGATTTATTGTCAGAAGGGGATACCTTGTGATGAAAGTCAAGGGGATGAGAAACAGTGCTGCAGTAATGAACAGACTTTTCGGCAACGTTTATGATCTCATTGCAAACCGCTTCCTGTGAGGTGGCCCCGAGATATCCAGAAACCCCCATAAAACAGTCAATGTGGGGACAAAAAAAAAAAAAGAGAGAGGAAGAGATGTAACATTCCAGACGAAGCACATAAGTCCAGGGAAAAAACAGAGTTGAAGATCCAGGTTAAAAAAAAACAGATATTCCAGTAGGTGGAGTGCAGGAGGGATCCAGGTGTAAGCATGGAAAAACAGGTAAGATACAGAAGAATTTGGGATTTAGTATGAATATTAAAAAAAAAAAAAAAAAAAAAGGCAGCAGCATAAAAGCCTGTAATTAGTGAGTAACTGTTGCAAATGGAATAACTTCAGGGCAGAAATGCAAGTATGTATCCCCAATCATGCACTAATATATTAATTTAATCCCCCATGTAGGCAGAGTAGAAAGACTGTCTCGAAATTCCTCTGCTCTTTTCTGGGGGCAGGGGCTGGCCCAACATCTCTCTGCACCACAACAGCCACAGAACTCTCGTGAAAAATGGTACTGGGAGTTCACCAGGCAGCGCCCTGGTCTAGACTCTAGGTCAGTACGGATTCTCTTTAGAAAAGCTACAGTCTTATTCAACAGGCATCTTACCACATAGCTCTTTTCAGATTCTGTGAGATCAGGTCCTGCGCTCAATGAATGATGAGAAAGCTGTGATCATCAAGCAAATTATAAGGGAGACATTTTAGCGGATGTCACATTGGAAAGGGTTCAAAATAAAAGCGTGAGCAAGTACACATACCACACCACCACACTTGGATGACACCGGACACTCGCGGCCTGCGGCCACCAAGTTTCCACAGTAACACGATGGGTGCACAGGAGAAAATGCAGATGTACAGAGTTAGGAGCAAGCATCCAGGCAATGAGATGGGAAACGGGACACATGGCTGTGGGGAGGCGAGGATGGATGACACAGGGTCCCCGGATTGGCAGGAGAGAGACAGGGACGGGCCATCTCGGGGAATGGCCCTGTTCCACCATAAGCCACACACACACGCATGCCCTCGCTATCAGCCAGCAGTCATCTAGGGAAGGCGGCTGGACCAAAAGCCAGTTTCAGTTATTTTGCTGGCTGGAAGCCCCTCTGACAGAGCAGACTCCTAGAACTGTCAGGTCTGCCATATTTGAGTACTTGTGAAAACTGACAAAGAGAAGAACGCTTTTGAAAAACTCCTTGGTAATATTTCAGTTATCAGCCAAAGCCATTCCTCTGGAAACAAATCTGCACATGACACACTCCAGTGAGGTACGAGCTGAGTTCAGACAGCTCACAGAGCAGAGCTTGCTTCCAGAAACAGGACTGTGTGTCCTGACATACACGTAGAAATGAGTCACTCGTCACTCACTAGCCCAGGTACCACAGGCTGACGAGGACACACTACAGGTGCAGTCATGGCCAGGTAGGCCTGCCTTTTCACTGGGGCTTGCATTGCAGAGGCCAGGCCTTCATGGAAAGGGGGCTTGGAATCATTCCTCCCTCCACCCCCAAGTCTCTCTAAATACATATCTGAAGCTCTGTCCAGGCCTTTTACAAGGGCACTTGGAAGTCTTTTGTGTATAACCCACTTGTTTCATAGACCGGCCCAATCCACTTGCCTCAGCCTCCCGAAGAACTGGGATTACAGGCTGAGACACTGAGCCCAGCCAGCATAGCCATTTTTGCTTAGACTTTACCCCTGACATGCTTTGAATCTAGCATAGGTTAGACATACATAAATTTCCAATAGGCAGGTTTTAAGATGTGCTCAGACATTTTACTATGGGTCAAGCGGCAGCCTACCCCACCTCCTTGGCAAATCTCCTTCAGATGCCAGACAAGGACAGAGACATAGAAATGAAAATAGACCATCTTTTGGTCAAGGAGTTTGAGGATTGCAAACGTCTGGTAAGTCTCTTGCAGGAAACTCCCCCCTTTCTCCAACCCCCATCTAGCCCACCACCTGAGGGCATGAGATGCTCACGTCTGGCTATACATCAAGATCTAAGACTCATGTGGCTGCAATCAACATCAAAGACCACCCCGACATTCCTCTGGACCCAAATCCCCCTTACCCCAAAGGCCCTTAAATATACCCAGTTCTTGGCCCTTGGATGCCACACTTACATCTGAGTGCCGGCCCCCTTTCCAATCTGGAAAAGGTGAATAACGCACTTTACTTCTTTCTACTTTCTTTCTTGTTGCAATCTTGCATTATTCCCGTGGCATCGGCATCGGCACAGACCCACCTCCCCAATTTATCCTTTCACTTGTGAAAACAAAAGTTCTCGTCACAAAAACCAAAATATTTCCACACTCCAGCTGGTGGCCTCTTGACCTCAGGCCACATGCAGTATGAAGAGAGGATGTGGGCAACCCCTTGAGTCTCTAATTCCTGAGATCAAGCAGTCCTCCTGCCTTGGTCTCCCAAAGTGCTGAGATTACAGGCATGAGCCACTGTATCTGACAAGAAGGGAAGACTTTCTACAAGCCCCTCAGTGTCCTTCCGTCAATGTAATCTCAAAGGAGTGACTGGAATCAATTATCTAACAAATAATTTGGTGCTCAAAAGTAGGCCGGTGAATCAAATACAGTAAGAAGAACCTGATACGTTACAAGCACATATGGGTCATCTGACTTTTGCGCTAACCCTTTGACTTGAGGTGCAGAACAGGGAATTGGAAGCCTCAGAAACTTGCACAAGGCAGCAAAGCCATTGAGTGTGAGAGCTGGGCTCCTTCGTGTCTAATCTCCATACATGCCCTACCTCTTAGATTATGATGGATTGCTGGTTTAACCATGATCGCAACACCTAATTTCTGTCTCTTATGAAAGCACTATAACTTCTTGAATACTTTTTTTTTTTGAGTTGGCCATGACTGGCACACTCATGGCCACTGTGGCCTTGACACGCTGGTCTCAGGTAATACTTCCGCCTCAGCCTTTCAAGTAGCTGGAACTACAGTCGCACGCTACCACACCCGGCTAATTTTTTTTGATTTATTGTAGAGACGAGGTCTTACCAAGTTGCCCAGGCTGGTCTTGAACTCCTAGGCTCAGGCAGTCCGCTCACCTCAGCTTCCCAAAATGCTGGGATTACAGGCTTGAGCCACCATGCCCGGCCGACTTCTTGAATACTTTTTATTCCAGGTGTTCAAAGACCTAGATCTTTTGTTTGTTTACTCATTTATTTATTTATTTATTTGAGTTGGAGTCTCACTCTGTCACCCAGGCTGGAGTGCAAGTGGCATGCTCACGGCCACCACAGCCTCGACCTGCTGGGCTCAAGTGATCCTTCCGCCTCAGCCTTCCAAGTAGCCGAAACTACAGGTGCGTGCTACCATGCCCGGTTAATTTTTTATTTATTGTAGAGACAAGGTCTCGCCAAGTCGCCTGGGCTGGTCTCGAACCCTCGGGTTCAGGCAATCCTCTCGCCTCGGCCTCCCAAAGTGCTGGGATTACAGGCTGAGCCACCAAGCCAGGTCGAACAAGCTCTTTTAAAAGTAAAAGTTATGAGCCGGGCTCGGTGGCTCAGCCTGTAATCCCTTGCCTTTGAGAGGCTGAGGTGAGTGGATTGCCTGAGCCCGCGGGTTCGGGACCCGCCTGGGTAGGCGAGACCTCATCTCTACAATAAATCAAAAAATTAGCCGGGCGTGGTAGCGCGCGCCTGTAATTCTGGCTACTCAGAAGGCCGAGGCGGAAGGATCACCAGAGCCCAGCGGGTCTAGGCTGCGGTGGCCAGGAGTGGTCACTGCACTCCAGTCTGGGCGACAGAGTGAGACTCCAACTCAAAAAAAATAAACAAATAAAAAATAAAAGTAAAAGTTATGCTGTGCCTAAGAGCATCCCATCACTCACCTAAAGAACTACAGTAGTGGAAGGAATATGGATGGTCCAACTAGTACCTTCCTTGGTCTCGGGCCACCCTCAAAGCAGAGGATAATTGTCACCACAGCCTTAACATCTGGACACTACAAACTTAGCCCCATTCCTGAGAGGTGGAGACAACTGGGTCCTCACTTAGCATTTGTTGAATAAATAAAGGAAGGAGGTAAGAGAAATATTTATCCCATTAACCTTATTCATTCCATTTCTTCCTGTTTAGATTTAAATGAAATATTTCATATGGCTGAACTATAAACCAGTGTTTTGGGGTTTTGGGGACCATGGCATGGGTGGACACTCAGTGGAGATGAAAACCACTGATATCTATCACAAGGATCCAGCCTTCAGATTTTCTTTCCTCTCTAGGCATATTTTCCTGGTGCCATTTTCTAACCACTTTCCAGCTTTATACAGCAAATTCTATAAACCTGTGCCATCCAGTATGGCGGCCAGTGACCACATGTGGCAGCTGAGCACTTGAGACGTGGCCAATATGAAGTGAAATGTGCTATGGGATAACATCCATGGGATTTCAAAAACTTAGTACAAAATAAAGATGTAAAATAGCTCTGTAATCATTTTTTGATACACTGAGTTAAATAAAATATTAAAACTAATTTCACCTCTTCCATTTTACTGTGGCTACCAGAACATTCTAAATTACATACATGGCTCCCAGTATATTTCCACGGGCCAGTGCCGCTCTGAACCCTCCCAGGTCCTCAGTGTTTGTTTAAGCCTGAGAGGAGACACAAGTCTTTCTCAACCAGGACCTCATCCAGGGTTAAGAAGAAAGGGAGTATTATCTCATGCTGAGTACATTTCAGACACTGGAGGCGCATTCCAGTTTTTCACGTGTTTACAAAAATAACCAGACCCACACATGTGTGTGCACAGAAACACACGCACACTACACTCCCCTCCCCTTCCCCATCAATTGTGAGCAGGTGATGGTCACTGGGCCGGAAACTGCTTTCTTCTGTATTTGCACACAAGTCACCCCTCCTGGCCCAGAGTCTCATTCTCCCCAAGCGGGTGACCCTGCATGCGTCCTTGCTCAGTTGCCCCCTGCCCTTCTGCCTTCAGGTCACAGAAGTTCCTCAGAAATCTGATCCCAGCCTCCCTGGAGCTGTTAATCCCTCTGGATCCCCAGAACACCTGGTGCTACTGCAGAGTTACTAAGCACACTCTTCTAGCACTGGGTGTGTGCCAAAACCTTGAAGCCCAAAATAATTACACACAGGCTAAAGAACAGCAGAAAGTCCTGGAGATGCGGACAGGGCAGGGAAACCCAACCTCTCCATGGCCCCAGGTCCCCTCTAGAAACACCCCGAGCCTCACCGAGATGGCATTCCTCTAGTCACCTCCCACCCCGTGTCTTCTTAGACCCAACTCACCTTCCTGGTGACCTACAGTGACCTCCCAGCTGGGACACTGAGAAGATCCAGGTGCCAGGATAAACTTTGTACTATCTGATTGTCTCTTGACTTCAAGTTCTAAAATACGTAAGAGTATTGGACACAATCTCTGTAAACTTCCTTATGGCCCTAATGCTCTATAATCGGAGTGTGTCCGTCCTATAAATTGAGAATTAGGACTGGGCAGGGCCGACCTGGTTTAAGGGAGGCAGCACCCCACATATTCCCTTCTGGAGTCTGGGTGGGGGAAGGGTTTGATCTCAGCTTCCAAATGGAAGGAGAGCTCACTTCTGGAAGCATCCCAAGTGACTGCCCCAGGACAGTGACAGAAGATTTGCAGCTCCTGGAACACCATCAGCGAACTCTGC